CTTTGTTGAGCAGATATACGTCTCGTAAGTAATCTGAACGAGTGGATGTGCTATAAATGCAAAATGTGTGAAGCTCGTCGTCGTCGTCGTGCGTTCAAATCACGGGTTTACATATATATATATATATATGTGTGTATATATATATATATATATATATATATATATATATATATATATATATATATATATATAGTTAAGTAATGAAAATCTTGGTAATCCGTATGGATAATCCCAAGGAGAATGAAATCCAAAGAGCTCAATGTTAAATCAAAACGATTAATTCAATGAAAGCAGACAACTTTAAGGGTCCATTGATTATAATTTATTTATCCCAGGTTATTTCTTTTCCCCTGGCTCATCGGACCACACTTCCAAGGGTGAAAGAATTGAAAGTGTGGTTTGATGAACCAGGAAAAAAGAAATTCCCTGGGGAAATAAATTATAACCAATGGACACTTAAAGTTATCTGTTTTCATTGAATACAGACACACACACACACACACACACACACACATATATATATATATATATATATATATATATATATATAATGTATTGTTTGAATTTCAAATCATTAAATCTGCTTATGCCAGCAACATTTGCAATGACTTACTTTCTTGGGATGAGATTTGATAATAAAACATCAGGGTTTGTCCCTAAATTTCATGAATGATGAATTATCCTTATTTCCATTATTTTGTTTTTTTAACCAAATTCACCCCATGCAAGGCAATAAAGCCACTAAGACACAAGAGGTTCACTGGGTGTGAAAGAATTAGAAAACAGAAACATTACTAAGGAGTGGGAACAATAAAACAGTAATCAGAAAGACAGTAGATATTGCAATTAAACTTTTGAAGATCAAAGTTGGCCAGAAAGAATAGAGCCGGAAATTTGTTCCACAAGCGAGAAGTGCGAGTAAAGAAACTGTCAGCATAGAACATACAGTTGCATCTAGCCAATTGAACTGTGAATTGATGTGACCTAGCCGCCAATCTAGTACTGCGCTTAAATACATAAATTCTAGGTACCAATAATAATGTTTACCCAGTACAAAACTATAGCGAAGGAAACTGCGAATTACCTCGTCAAGCCAAACGACAGCGTACCGCGTATATCCTCCGACGGAAAATGTGGCGAAAAAGGAAGTTACTTGCCGTAAAAAGGGCACGTATTCTGCATGATATGCTGGAAGCAGAATATTCAAATTAGAAACAAGTCAGTCACAGGAGTCGCTATAAAATTATATTGATATGCTAATATTGTTCGTCCTCTCCCAGTTGTCGACGAATGGAAAAAATACTCGGCCGATAAAAGCAGTTGGTGTTCACGAATCGGGGTGGGAAACAGATAAAATAGCCGGCATCACGATATTGTTCTTCCTGGGTTAAACTTGGGCAACCCATCCCAAAATTAGGCTAGTTTAGGTTTGTTTTTTAATCTTTAGTTTTCCTTTTTTCAGTTAACTTAGCTAGGGTGCGTATGCTCATAGGCCCCTTTTATTTCTGTCCCTATTTCTCGTTTAGTTTAATTCCCCATCCACCCCCCTCGTTAAGTGGTCAGTGTTCTCTGGTCAATGCGGGCGCCTTTCGTTTCGCGTGTGTGTTTTTCGTATTTGTTGTTGTATCTGAATGGGTGCGTGTCTGTGTGAATGCTTGGGATGAATTAATGTTTTTTTATATATATTATTATAGTCCCGCATTTATTTCGTCCAGTTAACTGATGTTTCTGCCACATTTAAAATTTGTTGGGTTTTTAATACTAACATGATTTTGTTTAGATTCTTGTAAATAATTTTGTTCCATATTGTACATACTCATTTGGATTTTTTAAATTGTTTTATTTCCGTCCCCACTCCACAGACAATGAATTGTACATATAGGGACTATTTAGGATTTTCATAGAGACAATGAGGTATTATGGTGAATGTAGTAAGACAGGTAAGTAAGAATGCGTTGTTTTGGTGTTATATTGTCTGGTTCAGTGTTTGTGGCTAAGTTTAAAGTTAAGACAGATGAAGACCGTCCTTTTCCCCCATCCCCCATTTTGGCCTTTTGCCACATTTTCTGTATATAACAGAAATAAATATCGGGAAATAGATAAAATTCGTGTATTTTGGCTACCGTGTTCGTCGGGGAGTGAGCTATTTTTCTGACTGGTTACGTGCATTGGGATTTGTGACATAGTCCCTGCAAATCGAAATTTCGGCATTTCTTTCTGCCCCTGATATTCGAGTCTGAACTTACAGTGATTTGTTCTCTGCGTGGTGAAAGTAATTTGCGACAAGCATTTGCTTTGCAACCCCAGAATTCTTACAAAAAACCAAGAGTCACTCAAGGTAGATGGTTACTAAATGGAGGTGTTGTAAGGGCGTAAACAGAGGGAGAAAGCGTTGCACATTATGAGGATATTTAGGATAGATAACAGTTGACCCAAGATTTTAAGAGATCAAGATTTTAGTAATCAGCGATACATCCTCTTGGAAGTTCCATACACAATGCAACACTTTTGAACGTCTAAGTAAAAATCCTTCTCTCAAATAGAATATTAAGAGAATGAAAATGAGTCGACACAGTGTAAATTGCATAGCGGGGCCTATAGCTTTGGAGACCTATGCTGGTGGAACTGAGGATTGTAGTCCGCCCGAACATCAGCCGTGAAAAGAGCGATAGACCATTACACTGGCAACGTTTCCTCAATGGGAATGGGTTTGTGGTCTCGTCTGGCTCTTGTGACGATAAAGCATGATAGAAGGAGTCAGGCACTTTCTGGTTCGATACACAGAACCGGTCAGTATGACTTAGAAGACAACAGCAGGGAGATAATATTGTAAGCTAGTGTTGTAGGCAGTGAGTGATAGTGGCTCGGATTGAGGAATCGGAGAGCCGAGTTCGAATTCCAGTCGAATCCATTACATTCACATACGTGCTAAAACCCTTGGGAAAGGTGTAGATCCCCTTCTTCTACTCCCCCCCGCCCCCAGCTATGGGTTAAATAGCAAGCCAAACTTGGTTCTATAGTCTTGTGTGGTCACTGGTCTAGGAGGAGGAAAACTCTGAATTCAAAACCTGATCGAGGTTGGGGGTTGTGCAGTAGGCTAACGACCTACTCACTTAAAAACTGGCTTGTTAAAGAAACCGCAACGATATCTTGCGGACCTACGTTCCTCAAAGGAATTTAAAAGGCATAATATATATATATATATATATATATATATATATATATATATATATATATATTAGATTGGTGCAAAAATAATGACGTAGTAATGTCGTTTTTGACGTTAAAAATACGTCAAAAAACAACATTATTACGTCATTATTTTGCACCAATATATATATATTGTAGGCAGTAAAAATTAAAGGTCCTTTCAAAGCTGATATTTGTCAATATAAAGTAAAAAGGATTATTGTAAGAATTTGGCAAGATGATTTTTAACTTTAAGAGTATGTTTATGTGAGATAATGCACTTTCGCATTTGGCAGAGCAGACGAAGGTCGACTGAAAAGTTTATAGCCTGACCAAGATATAAATGCAAATAGACGTGTCAGATGGTAGACTAAAGGATATGCCAGTCAGCTGTTGTATTCTGGTCCTCTTGCATGTCTTTTACTCTACTTATGTTTATATCTTGGTCAGCTTAAGAACTTTTCAGTCGGCCCTCATATTTCACGAGAAATAAAATAGATTCTCGTTAATTGATCGAAAAAGGGATAATGATTCAAATCCACAATTCGATATGGAGAAGACTGATTAAAATTTGAAAGATTGAATAAAAAAATTAATAAATAGAACTTGTCATATATATATATATATATATATATATATATATATATATATATATACGCACAGACACATATATATATATTCTTACTGCCGAAATATACCTTATATATATATATATATATATATATATATATATAGAATTATTTAACAAAAAACATATTTGAGATAAGTCTTACTACTTAAAAAATACATATATATATATATATATATATATATATATATATATATATATATATATATATATATATATATATATATATATATATATATATATATAAACATATATATATAAGGTATATTTCGGCAGTAAGAATATATATATATATATACATACATATATACATATATATATATATAAGTGTATATTTCGGCAGTAAGAATCATCTCAATATGTTTTGTTAAATCATATGGACAAGTTCTGTTTATTAATTTTTTTTTATTACAGCTTTCAAAATTTCGAATAAGTTGTTTTGTATATACCTATGTTTTGTATATATATATATATATATATATATATATATATATATATAGAAAGAGGGAGAGAGACTAAGAGAGAGGGGGAGGGGGAGAGACTAAGAGAGAGTGGGGGAGGTGGGGAGAGAGAAAATGAGACGAGTTATTGTTAGTGAAACTTGCATATTACAAAGTACTTATCCTAATGTATTTTTCGTCATTTCCTTCGAAGGAACACTCCGAAAGAAACACACGAACTTGATGTCGGGATACTGCTCATAAAAAGTATCGCCAAATGTCCGTACTACATTCGGTTCGTGCGCACTGTTCAAATTCCGTGAATAGTTGGTTAGCATCTCATAATTTCCAAGTAAATCATTACTTTACAATTTCCTGTAGGTTATGTCCGTACAAAAACTTCAATAACAGAAAAACAGAATTTTTTTTTTTTCAATATTTGTTTCTATATATATATATATATATATATATATATATATATATATATATATATATATATATATATATATAACGTGTATGCGCCCATGTGCCTTATTATGTGTCTGTGTGTGGGAAAAGCTGCTATTTCCAAATGCGCATACTTGAGATTTAAAATCCCAAGCTACATGGCTCAACAGACGTTGTTGAGGTATTTATGCACGTGCAAACATTATCACCATAAACATCGAGGTAGATTTCCTTATACTGGATTCACTCATCGACCGGATTTAGCCGCGATGTGTGAGCATGACGTAACAATGACGTCAACGGCCACTGGCGGCAAAATAGGAGAACCTGGCAAAGATGCCCAGGATAATTTCCGGTCGTGGCTTTTCAGAAAAATGCGTCTTAATAAAATAGGAAAGAAAGGCTGAGGGATTACGATGATATTTGATAGTGGAGGTTATCAGTGACAGATAGATAGATAGATAGAGAGATAGATAGATAGATAGATAGATATGAACAAAGTATGTACCACCAAAATGGATGCTTTTTTCCCCGAAATGAAAGCAAAAAATCACTACACTCTGTTTTAAAATATTTGCCAAAAATCAGTGAATTATACGATTCAAACGAAATGTTCAGCATTTATTCATTAATGAGTGAATCTTGTACTCAATCGGTTTGGGGAAATTCTTTTTGGAGTGTATATTTCACCATTTCCTTTTCAATATCTCCTGTATAATTTTTAGTTTGAGGTTGTTCGTTCAATTTTTTTATGGCTTTATAAAGAAAAAACCCTTAAAATTTTATTTCAGTAAAAAGATTATGACATATCAAGTGTGAATATACGGAAAATTCGGCCTGTATCTTAACAAAAATAATTCAATAAAACTCAAAAATAATATTTTTCAAAAATCTTGCTTGCATAATTAAATAAAACATCATTTTCTTTCAGATTGGACAGAAAAAATCTACATTTAATATCTGTCTATATTTCTGAGATGAGGTATTATGTACATTATTTACATTATTCGGACTATTGTCCTCATCTTTGTCGCCATATTTATTACAACTTTTCGGCCGTTGTACGCTCCATGCCAAGACACATGGCACAGTGGATAAAGGTGTTGGTTAGATCCAGTGACAGTGAGTTCAATACCCGGTTAAGGCAGTGGAGAACTTTCAGAGGGAAATTAACAGGAGATAACTGACATCCATCAAACATGGCACGTGGAACTAGAACAGTCTACCCCAGTGAGCGAAATAAAGGGTTTAGTTCGACATTCCAACCACCTGATGAAGGCCGGAGCGTACAACGGCTGAAACGTTGTAATAAATATGGCGACAAACATGAGGACAATAGTCCGAATAATGTTTAATAGCTATTTTAAAAAGTTATTTGTAATGTTTCAGTACGATTCTGTTCGTCACAAGAGTTTCTTTTTGTGGTAGGATCCACCTAATTTGCATAGTGGAGTATCGACCATATAAATATGGTTGGTATCGGGAAGACGAGGGGAGGAATCAAAAGATTCAATCCAGAGACTCTGTCCGACTGCGACTAAGTCAACACATTCTCCAGGAACGGTCTTCCCAAGAATATACAAAAGTCTATATGTAAATATTGTGTACACTTTCTTGTTTCAATACATTTTGTTCTAAGTACATTTTGTGTTGTATTATTATTCCATGCATTAGTCAAGTTTCAACACTTTTATTAAATATAGACACGTTTGAAAGGTAAAAAAAATGAAAGTTTAATTCCATTTTCGAGTGTGAACCTTTAAAAATAAAAACGCGTGTTGCAATCCTCACAGTGTTTAATATTGTTAAACTTATCCCTAATATTTTTTGTCAAGATTTACAAACTCTATATTTCATTCGATTTTGCAAACCAATCGATGATATTTGAATAAGCTGATTTGTTTGAAAAAATACTTTGACAAAATCCTACTTCCCGGTCTAATAATTTCTTTAATTTAATTTAATTTTATAGGACTTCATGGTAAACAATGTTTTGTAAGAAAATCTATTTTTTTTCCTTTTTAACAGCGAAGAATAAATTCTTAGGATTTCTTACTCTTGGGCATGCAACATATAACTGGCTCTACGTAAAACAACCTGCCATGCGTAAATATTTATTTCTGGGGCCGAATTCCATTTTTTTTTAAGGGTTTGGCCTTGTTAATTATATTGCCGAAATGTAACCAGTTAAGTAAAATAAAAGTGGCTTAGGAAATGCCTTAAGATGGTCAATCTTTCTTTGAGAGGTGTGTATGAGGATAGGTCTCACTGATGTTCTCAGCTCCGGTTAAGTCTTTTGATGTCGCCCGACTCCCCCCGTGTATTATTGAGAGAAAGGAAAATGACAATGTGGTGAACTTATTTTGTATTTTAAATAATAAAACTTTTAATTTTTTCCCGCCCAAATTGATGAACACTTTTGTTCTAAGCTACGCACCCTAGTAAAACGAACTCTACATTGTACCCCTTTATTTGTTGGCACTTCTCCCAAAAGTTAGGCTTCGATCGGTCAATATTTAGCTGTTTTAGAGGGTGTGTCGGACGGAGGCCTATCACAGAATTTGATATAAAGATAGATTATTTTATTTTTCCTTTTAGCAACTGTTAATTGCTTTTCGTATGGATGTACAAAAACTAGATAATTCTGATATCACGCTTTGATTAACTACTATTTAATATTTGAAGAGTATCATGAATTAATCTAAATTCATATCTACTGTTCAGTCAATTTTCTCGCCTGAAAGCAATGTTTTCTCATCGGGTGTTTGTCTTTTTTCGCGTGTGTCTGTTCACTTAGATTTATTTACAGATTCGTGTATACAAGAATAACCAATACTTATTTCAATAATTATACGTAATTTCTTGTCTTAATTTGTTATTATTTTAAAAACTGACCGTTGTCTTATTTTTTATTTTTCTTGCATAATTTATTCCTTCTGTCACCAAGAAATTTTTTTCAGAATTAAGGCGGAACTATCTCAATCGCATAAAAGAATACTTTATAATGTAATGTTTCTAAAATTTACTCTGAGAATAAATGATTTTCTTTTCACATTAACGCAAATTACATTTACGCTATGTTTTTTGCCTTACTGCCTTCAACTTTATTCATTATACTAAGTTTAATAAAAGAGTACAGAATATTAAACTATTGGTTAAAGATAATTTATTTTAAAACATAAATAACAATATCTTGATTATTGCACTGCTGGTCATCCGTATTTCCTTGGGTTTTATCTTTGCTTTTTCGGACTGGAGTATAATTAGAGTGTTTCAATTTTGTTCTTTGAACTCACAGGCTATTGTGTGTAAATTAAACGTTATTTTTATTCTGTTTTAAATACTTAAAAAAAAATCCAGTGAATTACATCTTAAATTGAGTAACTGACTTCGAAACACATTTCTAAAACAAATATTAGATTTTAAAGGGAATTTTAGATTTGTTGTTCGCATTTTTCGTATAGAGTGGCGGCTCGATGAGTGATGAACAAACGTGCCAATATTTTAAAAATGCCGAAAAAGTTTATTTATATACGGAAGTCAATTTTTCTTTTAATTCTGATTACCTTTAGGTCATTATCTTTCAGATAGAAACGAAATTTAAGTTCAAAGGCAATTAAATTATTTAAAATGGTTTTTTTGGGGGTTTTTTTTTGGTTTTTTTGTTGTTTTTTTTTTTTCAGAATGTTCGTGGCGGTATCTAGAACAAAGATATATTAATAGAAATGAAGGAAGAGAGAAATGAACAAACTGCTAGATAGATAGATAGATAGATAGATAGATAGATAGATAGATAGATAGATAGATAGATCAGAATGAAAATGATAGATAGATAGATAGATAGATAGATAGATAGATAGATAGATAGATAGATAGATGCAGTTTGTGATAAGTAAATACGAACAAAATGAAATGGAACTTGAATTAGATGGACAAATAGACCATTAGAGACTGTTAGAGAGATTGAGATAGATAGACAGAGAGAGAGACCGATAAAACAAACTGAAAAAGATAGATAGATAGATAGATAGATAGATAGATATAAAGAGATAGAGATAGATAAAATAAACTGATATATATATATATATAGAGAGAGAGAGAGAGAAAGAGAGATGAGATAAAACAAACTGAGATAGATAGATAGATAGATAGATAGATAGATAGATAGATAGATAAAAAAACTGAGATAGAGATAAAGAAATAGGGATAGATAAAATAAACTGATATATATATATATATATATATATATATATATATATAGAGAGAGAGAGAGAGAGAGAGAGAGAGGATATAACAAACTGAGAGATAGATAGATAGATAGATAGATAGATAGATAGATAGATAGATAAAACAAATTGAGATAGAGAGAGTAGAATAAACTGATATATATAAAGAGAGAGATAAAACTGAGATAGATAGATAGATAGATAGATAAATAGATAGATAGATAGATAGATACCGTATATACTCAAGTTCAAGTATAGTGCAATTTTTTTTATTATCAGTTTTTTATGCAAAAAATAGGTATTCGCACTATACTAATTTGTTTGAGGAGGTTATAAATCGTACATTTTCGGAGACCATTTGCACTATACAGGGTTATTTTTATTTTATCTTTTTTTTTTTTCAGTTAAAATACATGCAAAATAAATTCAGTCGTTGCGCTATACATAAAATCGGCCGAGACACGCGCATATATGGTAGGGAGTTTTAAGCCTTTTATTAAGATTCAACTGAACAGGTTAATACTGACCATACATCCCCTTATGGGCTTTGTTATGCTGAAAGAGGATACTAGATGTTTTTCTTTCATTTTTTTTTCTTTTTTGTGAGGCGGTGACAATACTTCCGGGCGGGGGGAATTTATCCATTTTTTTTTTCTTCAAATTTTAAAGAATTATTCACTGATCGCGACATCTATCAGAGAGATGAAATTGATTTTTTATTATTGCATTATTTCAAAATTCTAACCCATCATCAGATAGCTATTAATATCAACAACTGAGCACAAATATTTATTAATCTAAAAAAATATTACTAATTAATGTATAATATTAACCATAACTACAGGTAAAAGAATATCGTTTTTGATAAAAGTTAATCAATAATAAATACGTAAAAAATGCTTATGTTGTCGAAAATTCCTTTTTTCCACAATATAAAAATATTTATGCTATGTTATAATGCTTATTACCTAAACAATAATATTACTGAATAATTTTTTTAAACATTAAAGTATTTTTAATCACATCACCACAATACCTGTCAAGATCTGTTAATATCACCTACAAAAGGAAATTTCTGAAAGCTGTGGGTAGCTATCAAACTTTTCTTCATTGCTTTTCCAACCTCCAATATGGCTGAATGTGGTTTAAACGCAACTACACAGATTCTTACTAAACAAAGAAACCGCTTACAAATTACAAAATCTACGATTACTTCTCAGCAGCATAAAACCTTGAGGAAAAGCCTTAGCTAGTAAGCACCAAGGTCAACCGTTGCATTGAAAACATTGAGATAAGCTATCAAATATTTTTTAAGCATTTCACTCATAGGAATTTATAATAGAAATGTAAACAATATTAAAATTATTTTTGCACTAATGTCTAAGCGTTATCTTGCTATGAAAGATGAATTCAGTATAATATCCGAAACTTAATTTGACAAGTCGGAACGTTGACAGGATTTTGTGTCCTAAGGGCGACGCTTGTTAAAAAAAAAAAAAAGGTTTGGAAAAACTGATATTCATAAATAAATCCGAATTAGTCTACGAAGGTCGTCTGGAAAGTTCCCAGGCTGCCTAAGAAATACATGATCCGCCTATGAACTTTTTATCCGATTCTCGTATAAGATTTAAACGATACTGAAAACACTTCGGTTCGTCCAAGAGAGGAATTTTGAAAAATAAAATAAAAAAAAAAAAACAACTTACGGTCATTTCTTTTTAGATGTGGATCGAGAACTTTTCAACATCTTTTACCAAAAACGCATAGAAAAAAAAAAGCTGAAGAATCCAAAAGGTGAAAGGTTAAGTTTAAAACACCAACCGTGAAGAAACCGCTCTCTCCCCAAATCAGTGTATAATAATCAATGCGCAGTGCAATAAGTTTCCACGAAAAATAATGGCATTAATGGATTTAAACTTGGCGGTTCGAAACAAAGTAGAACTTCTTATTTTTTTTTTGGTAAGGTTAATCACATTTTTTTTAAAAAACATAAATCACATTTAAATAGATCTCTAACAACGTATCTCTTAAAACGGGTTCATCGTTAATTGCTTTCTGTGTTGTGCCTTTTATGTCGCGCCAAAAAGAATTTCTACGGTAGGAACGGAGAAGCCTGTTGACTAATCTGTCTTCACTTCTAAATGATGTACTTCTTTGTCCCCCACAAAAGCGTTATTCCCCTGGGTACCAGTCCTCTAGTTTTAGATTATCTTTTGATCATTATCAGCGTTCAAAACGTACCCCGTACGTGACGGAGATCACCCCCTTAACCCCAGCATTAATTCTTACTCTTTGGTCTGTCATTAATGAAAAAAAGAAAAAAGAAAGACATAATACGGATCCTTTTTCTAGATATTTACTAAGGTTAACATAGTCTGGTACAAGGTCGCAAGAATGGAGCGCCCATTGATGATAAAACACTTTTTTTTCTCATCTTTATTGCCATATTTACGACGTTTCGGCCGTTGTACGCTCCGGCCTTCTTCAGGTGATTTGGAATTTCGAACCGAACTCTTTATTTCGTCCACTGGGATAGATTGTTCTAGTTTCACGTGCCATGCCTCTTCCGGGTGTCTCGGTTATCTCCCTTTAACTTAAATCTTCCAAGGCTTTTTTTTTTTTTTTTTTTACGTGACTGCAGTAGCTAGGTATTGAACTTACAATTCTTAAGGTCAAGTCACTGGCTACAACCAACGCATTTATCCAATGTGTCATGTGTCCTTGTTGTGAGTTATGTTGTGGCCTTGTTAGGGGCCAGAAATAAAGACACAAAATGAGGAACTGAGTTAAATATATTAACATAAACAGTTAATACAAACATATACAAACGAGAGTGTTACAGCAAGAATGTTCCAGCTGACTGCTGGAAACTCCCTTCTCCAAAAGGCAGTACCTGCTCCTATTTATAGCTGGGAGAGTCCATGCGTGCGTGGGTAAATTACCATAACAAGTTAAATACCTGACTACCGCAGTGGTGAACAAACAACTTGACTTAAAGGGAGATAACTGCGACATCCGGGAGAGGCATGGCACGTGGACTAGAACAGTCTACCCCGGTGGACGAAATAAAGGAAATTCCACTAACACGAAGAAGGCCAGAGCGTAAAACGGCCGAAACGTCGTGAATATGGCAATAAGGATGTGGATAACAGTCCGAACAACGTAAATAATATAAATAATTACAATACCTCATCTCAAAAATATAGACAAACAATTTAATATAGTAATATATATATATATATATATATATATATATATTTACCATTGTTCACTAAATACAAAAGCCCAAGTGTGAGAAGTGCATATTATGAGAATATGTAGGATATGATAGGCAATGGTTGATCCTAGAATTGACGAAGTGGAAGTTAACAGAGAATTGATCTTTCGAGAGTATGTTCCACAAAATTAAATTTCTGGGTGGAGGGAACCTGTCTGAGTGGAACTCCCTCATTACAAATGGAATATGGAGGGAACGAGGATGAGCCGACACTATGTACGCGGTAAGACAGTTTCTAGCTGCGGAGGTTAGAAGGTAGCTCGTGTGAGCATTTTCCATGAAAGTAGTCATAGATTACCGAGAACCCAGCAAAACTTCGTCTGTGGAAAATGTGTGGTCAGACTGCATAAAGGCTGGAAATTGAGGAATGGGCAGTCAAACCCAAATATGGAAGGAATATTGCTTCTTCTTTTTTTTTTATCTGATCTGGTTCTTGTAAAGATAGAGCTTGATAGTAGGACAATATTTACATTATTCAGACTATTGTCTTCATCTTTGTCGCCATATTTATCCGGTCCTTCAGTATCTGTCTATATTTCTGAGATGAGGTATTGTGTACACTATTTACATTATTCAGACTATTGTCCTCATCTTTGTCGCCATATTTATCCGATCCTTCAGTATCTGTCTATATTTCTGAGATGAAGCATTATGTACACTATTTACATTATTCAGACTATTGTCCTCATCTTTGTCGCCATATTTATCCCATCCTTCAGTATCTGTCTATATTTCTGAGATGAGGTATTATGTACACTATTTACATTATTCGGACTATTGTCCTCATCTTTGTCGCCATATTGATTACAACGTTTCGGCATCTTCAGGTAGTTGGAATGTCGAACTTGAGTTTACGAATTTTTCAATGATAACAGCAAAAAATTGCAATATGAGCACTGGTAAAAAAAAGAGGTGCTGAAGACAGGTTTATAATACCCAGAAATTCATACACAGATGCCCTCAAGGACACATGGCACAGTGGATAAAGGTGTTAGTGGGATCCACTGACAGGACCCAAAGAGTGTGAGTTCAATACTCGTTTAAGGCAGTGGAAGACTTGGAGAGGCACGTGGAACTAGAACAGTCTACCCTAGTGAGCGAAATAAAGGGTTTACCCTGAAGAAATATAGACAGATAATGGTAGGAGGACTCTGGTACTATCTGGAGAGGTACAAGGAAACGACTATTTATCCAGAATCTTTAGCAATGGATCCGACACAGAAGTTCCACGAGGTCTGCAGTGTACTTCCCCTGCCTTGGAACTTCTGTGTCGGATCCATCGCTAAAGAGGGGGCTTCATTGAGAATACAACCATTTGTAGGGATTGGAGAAAACTTATGGTCTTCTAGGTGACGATGAAAGTTTTGTTTCAATAACATCGTCACATTTTCTACATTGATCCTTAAGCAAAAGCAATGTGTGTTCTCACTTCTTACGCCCAAACTCTGAAATTTTATTTACTATTTATTTGTTATTTGGTTTATTCAATAGGAGTAGATAGGTTCACCTATCACCCGGTTCATACTCCTCTTCAGTCTTTTGAACAGGAGTAGAGGTTTATCCCTTTTTTTCTGTTTAGGATTTGGTTTCCGATTTCTTCTAAAGTCTACTTTAAATCTATACTTCTAACGTCTCTTCCTGAACTCTGAAGTTTTATTCACATTTATTTCTCTCTCTCTCTCTCTCTCTCTCTCTCTCTCTCTCTCTCTCTCTCAGTAGGTATAAACAGGTTTGTCTATCGTCCGGTTCATACTCCTCCTCGGTCTTTTGAACAGGAGCAGTTGTTTATCCCATATTACCTGTTTACGACTACTCCTAAAGTTTATTCATTCTCTTGTACATTCCAATCACAACAATCTTGACCTCTTCAAAGCCGTTTTCTTTTCTGCACAGCCCCATATACTTCTCTTTTTACCCTTTCTTCCGCTCATACAACGCTATACTGTAACCCTCTACCTTGAGTGGCTCTTGAGTGAACATTAGTAAAAAGAAATCATCAAGCAGACCCTAAATTTTCTCCATTCTGATGAACAGTTTTATCCTCAATTGGAGCTTTTGCTTTGAACATCAATTGGGATTCAAACTTCACTCTAGATCTCAGTAGAACTCGTCTGCAAAGTGATTCATAATAATTTAAAATTTCGCTTAATCTGGCATTCAGCAAACTTCGTATATTGTACCCGACAGCGAAGGAACGCAGAATATTTTTTACCTTTCATACAAGTGTCGACGACACAATGCGCATCTAAATCACTATGGACTAGCAAGTTTAACATCGCCTGAGGAGACACATTTGTAGTCATGAATCATAATTGTAATTGTGTAGCGATTTTTAACATGTTTTTGTTTTAATATCTTAAATAAATAATAAATCCAAATCCAAATCACCATGGACTCGCAAGGAGACTAATCACCAAAATAATTCCCGAAGCATGCTTACCAATTTAAGTTATTAATATAAGCTCAGTCGCAAGCAATACCTCTCCCTTGAGATGTGGCTAGGGTTAATCCCTGGCGCCTGAGGTGTCCCCAAAGACTAAGTGCCTAGAGGGCGGGGCCATTTTTCTTCATAGTCCACGTACGCTCAGGCTGCCACTTTAAACACGACCTTGTGACACATACCCTATTTTTAAAGTGAGACACTTTATTTAGTAAACTTAAGAGGACACGAGTATACAAATATGGAACAAACAGTGAAGATCAAACTCCAGATAAATAATAATCTGCGCGCGAAATTTGTGTCTCTGCAGCTAAGAGCACGAGAGCGTTTGAAGATGTTTCGTTGAATCTCTAGCACAAGGCGCACAAGAGCGAAGCCTCCGGTCAGGATCAATTCTATAGAGACGTGTTTGGTATTCCTTCCGCCAAATGTTAAATCGGTGCGGCGAATGAACTCTGAGATCAGTCCTCAGCAAACGCGGCGCTGGCATCCCGGGGATGGTCACTCTCTGTCTTGCTGTCTCTCTGTCTCTGTCAGCCTGTTTATGTCTGCCTCTCTCTCTCTCTCTCGCTCTTCATACAGAAGAAAAGCGGAAAGGTTTTCGGTACGACAGCCAATCTTGTTAAATTCACAAATATCAGGGAATTTTTAATCATTTCGTGAACAAGCCAAGAACATTTCAGCACACACACACACACACACATATATATATATATATATATATATATATATATATATATATATATATATATAGAGAGAGAGAGAGAGAGATAGAGATACATATATAGATGTATATATATATATATATATGTATATATATATATATACATATATTTATATACTATATATATATACATATACATATATATA